GAGAGAGAGAGAGAGAGAGAGAGAGAGAGAGAATAAGATTCTTGATTGTGATTAAATCATTTTTATTTATATTTAAATTTCTACATTATTTTTTATAAAATTAAACCATAAATTACTCATTAGTTTTGATACTAGTCTTTAAGGTTTTAGTGACTGAATCAACGAAACCGTTAATTTGAAATGCGAGCAAATGTTTAATGATATCTTTGCTGTCTTTGACTCCAGTCTTAATCCAAATTTGATTCTTAAGAGATGAGTCAAAAGAAGTGGTATTGAGTTGAAAGCAAACAAATCCCAGCGAAAAGTCGTGCGGATTAATGAAAACGCATTGAACGGGAATCGGATCCACGAGTTCTTTGCTGTCGGAATTATGGCCGGACTCGAGTCGGGCCACAGCTGTCGTATAGCCGTAACAATAATTGATGGCTCGACCGACGAGTGTGTAGTCATCGAATTGTCTCAACTGATTGTGAGTGAAGTAAACCGTATGAATGGTGTGATTGTCCGGCAATTTGAACGAGTAATCCGTTGGGTATATATTCTTCTCAACAAAACATGTGGTCCACGAAAGCGGTTCTATTGATGTCAACGACTTATCAATTGTTTTCAATGGAGTTGTACTAAAAAGTGGTAAACAATGACTCAATTTAGACACAGATATGAAATCGGTCTCCAAATCAAAAACAATTAGCTTTTCGTTTCGTTCAAAAGGGACACAACAATAAGGATATGATATCTTCTGGACATCAAACGATCCGAAGATTTTTGTCGACAAAATTTGTGTCAAATCGTAAAGAGTTCTCAAATAATTGTATTCCTTTCGATTGCTAGGAATTCCCCAAACTCTTGGCGGCCTTTGATCCAGATATGGGAACTCGCGATCCAATGGAAGCTTTCGGAGTATTGAATCCGAAGACTTCGACCATTCGAGTCGTCGTCTCATGAGATCAATGAAATTGTCATCGATTTCAATGTCAGACATCAAGTGATTGATATTTTCGGGCATTTCTTCGCGTCCCTCGAGAACAGTGTTGGTGAAGAACGTGGACTGATTCAACGGATCCAATAGACGTCGGTGTCTGTCAAAGACGAGAGCGGGTCTCTTGTGATACCGGGGATCGTCGGCCAGACCTTTGGTCGGGCGGTGAGAGTGAGGCCACGGGAAGAGCGACTTTTGGCCGTAAGTGTCTCTGCCTTCACACAACTCTTGTTGCAGTCGTTGCTTCACAAACAGATTGGGGTCTTCGACGGTAACATTGGGCGGAAGTGTTTGGAAGTGCTCGAAGATCTTCCTCTTACTCTTGGCCTTCCACTGGATCTTGAAGTTGAAGTGACTCTTGTCTCTGGTGGGCTTCGGCCCCCACCCCTTCCCCCACCAATACCTCTCAATCCGATTCAATGCTAGCGTTAATCGCATTTCAATTTAATTTCAATCAAAACATTTGACACCAAAATAATTGAGAAATGCTTTCAATTTGTGTTTCAAAATCAAAACCATATGAGAAACACGTGAAGAGATGGCGTCCTCTTCCGCCACAATACTAACCATTAATTGTTTGAAAGCTTTAAAAATATTTTTAAAATTTAACTTAAAAAATACATTTTACTTTTGTTTGCAATTAAATAGTCTTTTAACTTAAATTTTATATAAATATTTTATTAAATAATTTACTATAAAAAACACAATTTAACAAAAAATGAGTCAATAAAACGTTTATAAATTATAATTTGTAAATAATAAAAGTTAATAACAACGACGAGAAGATTCTGGGTATTTGTCTTTGAGTTGAGCTTTGAATTGTCTGAAGAGCGCCCGATTCCTCTCGAGCTCTAAATCCTTTTCCTTATGGAAAGAGTCGGCAGTTTTGAAGCCCTTATGGATAACGAAGGCATTGTTGAGGACTGAAAACTTATAGCCAGACATATGGAGTTCGCATATCTGGCAAACAAATGATTGCAATGAATGGCAGAATATAACGCAAACTAATAACAAAGAGATGTCATACTTGACTGATTCGGTTGAAGCCGTACTGTCGGAAGCGCTCGTCATAGAGGGGGACAGTATTGGCGCTGAGATAGAAGGGTTCCCACGGGTCTCTCCACAACACCTCAAACAATATGTCAAACTTAGCCGACGAGTGCTTTTGCCAGTTCTCATAGTCGGTATACTTCTGGCACTTCCAACACATCTCTATATAAAAGGGTCGCGCATTCATCGACTCAATCATTCGCAATAATTCCGGTTTGTCTTTAGGTATCAATTGGTCTATTGTCTCGAGTTTCAAATCGGATTCAGTAGACGATAGTGTGTTGACCTCATAGGCCGGCACCACATAAACCACTTTCTCCTTCTTGTGCTCTTCAGTGAAGAGTTTGTTTTGTTTTGCGAAATCAAAGAACTGTTCGTAGAGACCATCGTTTGGCACTAAATCAATGTCCACAACAAATACATAGTCTGTTAAAGCGTTTCTTCGGCCGACATTTCGTAACAAATTGTTAGGATATGCGACGCCTGAGTGGCCGTAATTAATGGCATTGGACTCAATCGATGCCAACAAACTCTGGAGTCGATCGCAGTTCTCTTCTTTCGATATGATATCAATAGGAAGTCGAGGCGATAGAGTTGTGGCTCCGATGGCCGGCTTCGGCACTATTAACGGATACACCAAATGAAAGCTAAGGTTTCGACGTATCGATGGATAACATCGACGCAAAAGTAATATCATTTCAATGACTAAAGGGATGTCTTGTGATAAAGCGAACACTGATATTGAGGCCAATCCGTGCCATCGATGGGCCAAAAGGTCTAAATTATACATTTGTGAGACACTTGTCTGAGAGACTAAACTAATGTCGTGTCGAATATGATTACGAGAGCCGAGAGATTGACTTCTGATGAAGAAGTTTATGATATGATATTCGCCCGAAGAGTCCAAAACACTGGTCTGTCTTATCATATGATACATGTGTTTGCGATCGGACTCCACGTCTGAGGGCTTGTATTCGTTGAATGCATTCAACCCTTCATTCAATACTTGTCCCCTCTTTTGGCGTTCACTTCGTTTAGACTCCAAACGACTCAATAATATCATATGAATTATCTGTCAATCAATTCAATACACCATTAGATCTGATCCACAACTCAAAGACATGCCTCACCTGAAGAACTGCTATAACAAAGACTAGCAAAAGGACAGCTCTTCTCCACAATAGAGCCATTGTTTACATTTGTGTGACATTTGTTTGACTCGTTTTACTCTTTAATAAACCATTTATTAAATGTATTTTTGACTCAAATATTGAGTTCTTATAACAATTGGCAAACATTTTGACTAATCTTTGGTTTTGATTGCAATTTAATAAAACATTTATGTTTTGTATTTTTATAAACAATTGTTACTTGACTTGAGTTTGTGGTAAACCAGAGCTCGAGTCCAATATAAACATCACTTCATATTGTAATCATTATTTGTGTTACAATTTGTGTAATCATTAATAATTAGTTTTAATTACATATAAATTAAAACTTATGGTTAGATTTGAAGTCAAACTTACGGTTATTTATAAATATAATTCACTTTTAATTTCTGTCAATTCAAAGCTCGAGACCAAAAGTGTTGACAACTTTATTACATAGTATTCACAAATTATGTATACTTTTAAAGTAAACAATAAAATTCAATAATTGGTAATAATTTATTAATTATTATAAATACAAACAATTTCCAAAACATTATGAATCAAAATTGTGACTATTTTATGCAATTATCATATATTTAAGCACTTTTTAATTGTATAAATAATTTTTCTAACATTAATTTAAATGTTAAAAGTTTTGACATTATTTATGAATTAAAGTACAATAAATAAACACATGAATGAAAGCAATGTTTTGAAAGTGAATTGAATTACAAATTAATAAATGCTTTAAAAATTTTAAATTAAAATATATTTATAATTATTATTAAGTAATAAAAAGTACTTTAAATATGAATAGAGTTTTCAAAACTAACGGTAATTTCATTTGTAAAGTAATTGTTAACTAAAAACCTTTCATTGAATGCATTATTGGTATGAATTAGTGTTGAAGACATGGATGAGACAAATGCAGACCACTTGTATGACAAGACAAGAACTGCCATCACTTGAGTCGATTGATCCATCGGGCGATGCGGTGGTCGACGCCGTGACCGACAAGATATATGAGGACTCGTTAAGACACGAAGACTTCTTCGGTGTCAACAAACTGTTTACAGTCCGACAACTGTTTGAATCGAGAGCTCATTTCGGGCACA